CATCCGATTAGTAAAAAAGATATGATACCTACCCCTTCTCATCCGACAAAAAGTTGAAATAAATTATTTCCCCCCCTCTCCCCTTCCTTTCCCAGCCTCCCCTCCCCCGAATTGGGAACTGCAGCCGGCCTTGAGAAGGTCAGCTTCCTTCGGCAGACAAAGCACTTTCGGGCTCGCTCAGGTTCCTGAAGGCAGCCTGCCTCCCAAACCCTTTAAATTTATTTATCTAATTAAAATCTCATGCTCAGAGAGTTCATATTTATCCAACAGACGTCCCCCTCCTAACTGATGGGGCAGGGCAGCCCGGCCCAGCAGCAGCCCTGGGGGGTGGGGGGAGCATTCATCCACCCCCCTTCAAGTCAGCAAGCAGCGGTGCGCACCCGGGTGGGCAGCCCCAGCCAGCTGTGTTTCCGGCCAATGAACATGCCGCTCAAAGCCTCCTTTTTAATTAACTCCATATCTCAGGCGGCCAGAGCACGTGGGCCAACTTCTGTCTACTTCGCTGCAGAGCCCAGCACATCCCGCTTTGCTTTCTAAGAATAGAAGCAGGAGATGGAGGGGAGGGAGGAGGCCGGAGTCTAAAAATGAATTTGCAGCCCAGAGCAAAACAAGCCAGTCCAGAAGAAGGGAGAAAGCATGGTGGGTGAGCGCACGCACACACACACACACACACACGCACGCACGCACGCACACGCACAAGCGTGCACACAGCTGAGCCAGCGGGGGCTGTCTGCGGCCATCCCGGGTGTGACTCGCGAGCCTGGCAGCCTGCCCAACCGTCTGGCAGGGATGGGGTGGCAGTGGCACTGTTCATGCCAGGCGCAGGCAGCTGGGGATGCCCAGGGGAGTCTGGGCTTTTTTCCGGACTGATTGGTTTCCCCAGTAGACAGACGTGACTCACAGGCTCACAGGCTGGGCGCTGGGGCTGAGTTTCAGGACTGCAGGAGCGCAGTACCTCTAAAACTGCGAGGTCGGGATTCAGCCACAAAGGATGCCCTGCCCTGTGGGGAAGATGAGAGGAGAAGGACAATGAAGTTCTGCTGTCCAGGGGGACACTCAGGAAGAATCAGGACAGCACTGCCAGCTACCAACAGAAAACAACCCCAAAACAGGATAAAGAAGGGCTACTGTAATTGCCGCTGTGTTTTGCCAGGTTCACCCCGGACACGGTCCGTGGGGCATCTTCTGGATCCACACAGGGCCGTGCTGTTCTTGGCCCCATCGTACTGATGAGGAGGCCTGGGGAGCACGGGAGCACCAGTTCTCCTGCTCAAGAAGCCAGAGCCTGGGAGTTGTCCCTGGTGGGGCCCTGCAGCCAGCCCTCCCCTCCCTGCAGCCGGGGGTCCCCTGCCTGTGACTAGGCCTGAACACTGGGCACCCTGGGAAGGGATTGGTGAGTCCTTGGCCCAGCACTAAATGACAAGACACAAAGCCCCTCCACTCGGCTTGCTCTAGCCCTGCCCAGGGGTCTCCCCTGGGTGGTAGCTTGCTCCTCACACTCCCACCCGTGGGCTTTCCCAGATGGAGCGTGGCTGCACCACCTGGACCTCACCTTCTCAAACACTGGTCCGCTTCCTGTCTGTGCAAAGAGGCCCAGATCTTCCTTTTAAGGTGCTGAGTGGCAGACACTGGAATCCGTGTGGGGGATGCTTCACAGGATCCAGGGGCGGAGAGAGGGGGACACAGGGGAGCCAGACTGACCTCCCCCGGAGGCTTTCTGGATCCGGCTGGTCAGTCCTGGGTTGTGTCATATATAATTGTTAGTATGTTCTTAATATGATTACATATAACTTCCACATGATAGCATACAGTGTTGCAATGCATACAGTATTTTTGTTGTAGGTAATACATGCATCTACCTTATATACATTACACACATATCCATTATATATTACCCATACATTGTATTATATTATCCTGGCTACTTTGGCATATGTTTAAAATTTTCTTTGGAGGAGCTGGGGATGGAGCCCAGGGTCCTGCCCGTGCCAGGCAAAGGCTCTGTCATCATGCTGTAACCTTTCATCCCACAAAAACCCATGTTTAATGTTATTTGAAAAATATTTAAGTTGACCTAAAGAAACAGTGTAAGCAGCATTCAGCGATGGCGGAGACGGTGATGATGAGATGCAGGCTGAGGCGGGAGGAAGGCTGGCTTCCAGTGTGCACCCATGTCCACGCAGCCCTCCTCCCTGCCCCGCACCCCGTCCCCCACCCTGGTGGTGGCCCCAGGTGAGGGCACATCTGATGTCACCTCTGCAGCCCTCGAGTGCGCTGCAGCAGGAGAACCGTGATCTTTGTGTGGCCTCCTCCCGTGATATCAAAGAGCCCTACTGTCACACGATTCACATCTGGAAATCCAAGAGTTTTCCAGTAAACGGGCCTGGTGGGAGGGCCGCTCACCTGTCATGCTGCAGGGCCCCAGTGGGGGGTCGGAGATTCCTTGTCAGCCTCAGTGCTATGGGCTGGACAGAGGTGCCTGAGAGCCCGGCACCCCTGCCCTAGGGCCCTTCACCTCCAAACCCTCAAGGTCAGCAAAAGATCTCCCTCCTGCAGTCCTTCACTTCCTCCTGCCTGCCTGCGTTCGGTTACTTAATCATTTTTGTTTGTTTGTGTTTTGGTACCAGGGATAGAACTCAGGACCTTGGGCTCGCAAGGCAGGCAGTGGAACCACTGAGCTAAATCCCCAGCCCCGTTACTTAATTGTTAAGCACCTGCTGCTCGGGGAGATAGTTCCGGGATTGTAAACACCAAGGGATGGTGACACTTCCAGGGCCTCAACCCGAGAGAGGAGTCGGGGGCTGCACTGCCTCCATGTCTAAGGCCTTCCAGGAGGACAGGGTGCCAGGGAGAAGAAAGCAGGCTGATGACTACAGCAGGACACCTGGTCCTGCACCCCAGGCCCCTCCAGGGAGCAGAGGGCTGGAATTCGCCCATGGTCGTGGGCAGGGCCCCGACTCCCAGGTGTGGGTCGGAACTGTCCTTTGTGGAATCTTCCAGATCCACGCAATGGAGCTCAAGATGTGGCCGCTGAGAAACAAGATGCGCTTGCTGGGTTTCAAAGGCTTGGCATGAAAAGTAGAAAGATATAAACTATTTGCTGATAATGTTGTATGCGATCCCATATTGGAATGAAAATATTTTGGATATGCTAAGTTAAATATAACTTTAAAATGTCGCGTTAAATGAATTTCACCTGTTTCTTTTCACTTTTCTCATAGGGCTACTAGGAAAGTTTAAATTACAGTTCTGTGCTGGTCCATTTATGGATGAAGACACTGTGGACACAGACAAGGACACGCCGTCCCCAAGGCCCCAGCACCAGAAGCTCCCATGTTTTGAGTCTAGGTCGTGGCCATCTTGAAATTTTCAGCAACCTTCCAGCCAAATTCTCTGACATTTGGGTAGCACGCGGTCCTGGGTACAGGACTGCAGCTACCTCAACACCATGCCCCCTGACACTCTTCCCTACAACCTGCTGTCTTCTTGCTTGTTTGTTTTTGAGGTACTGGGGATTGAATCCAGGGCCTTCATGCTGAGCTACAATCCAGCCCTTGTTAAATTATTTATTTTGAGACAGCATCTTGCCAAATAGCTAAATTACTTGCCGAGGACTGACAGGAACTTTCAATCCTCCTGCCTCAGCCTCCCAGAGTCTTGAGATTATAGGACCAGCAGGGGTTTTTT